TCCGATCGCTCCCGCCTTGTCAGTTACGTCCAAATCCCAAGATAAAGCATCATCTTTGACTTCACTAGCTCACCCATTCATGCCGAGCCTCATCCCTCCCTTAGTACTTGCACCGTACTCTCTCCATCTCCCAGACAAACTGCCCGGTCAATGACAAGGATTGGCCAGACTGTGCAAAAGACTTACTCGTCTGCCTCGTTGACTATCAGTGCAATATTGCCAAGATTACTTTCTGTAAACAGGATGAATATATTTGCGGAGAGCCCATCCCTGTCCAATCATATCATCCCCCCACCTCGACTATGTCAGAATAGTTAGCGTCACCCTGCCACATATTATCTCTCCACAGCCCGATGTCCTTTAGTCATGATTGATCAAACTGCTCTGCACAGCCATGCACGTGTGCCAATTGCGGTGGCTCCCATAATGTACCTTATAGGGGCTGTCCCACCTACAAAGTTGAGTCTGAGGTAGCAATTCTCATTAAAACTTTTCTTGAGGTCGGTGCTGTGCTGTTTAGTCCTGTCCATGGATCCGCCCCCTCCCTCCCGAGATGTTTCATCCTTACCAGTATCTTTTCCTCATCCAACTTCTGCCCCCCCCCCCCTATCACCCAGTCATTTTTTTTGTCGTTCTATATCCAGGCACCCCAATCTCTACCACTATTCTAAATCAAGATACTTTACTTTCCCTGTTCCTATACCCCTCTTCCTCTTCGCTCGACTCATCTCTTAAGACAGTATACGTTCCACCCGATCTCCTACATCAACCTTTTCCCCCGGCCCTCAAACGTCTGTCCCCTCTTCTCCTCCTCACAAGGAAATCTTCGTTTCTCAGACTCGAGGACTTTCAAAACTCTAATCAAGACCCAAGATAACATACCTACACAACATCCATTCTCCAATTTGGTCCCATTTCCTATACACTCAAAGTGACTGCCGATATCCATCCTCCTCTTATTCATGTTCCCCCTACACCTCTCCCATTCCCCCTGTTTGATCTGCATCATCGCCTCTTCCTTCGCTATACGTTATATCCCTTATGTCATAACAACCCCCTTCCCTGGATTCTCTCCTTCCGGACTTTTCTCCTGTAACTTTTCATTGATATAATCACTCTTAAACCTTCCTTTCTCTTTTTGTTAACCCTTGCCTGAAACTATGAATATCCTCGTTAATCCTTACCTTAGCCCATCTACTCACTCTTTATACCCGCTCCCCGCTTTGCCCCTTTCAATGCCTTTGATATCTAGCACTTTTATTTTGCGTTGTAACCATTAACTACTACTAAATAATGATAAGGGGCAATAATAGTAATGGTGTGATGATTATCTTCATTTGTATTGTTATTATTATCACTATTCCCATTGATATTATAACAATAATAACTAAGGGTTATAGCCGTTTAAAATACAAAAATGCGCATACCCTGTTTTTTATCTGAATTAACTGAACTAGATTTCTGCTGTGCGCACCATTCCGAAACGGTAGGAAAATTGTCCGCCCTGAAGAATTTAGGGGGAAGTGTCCACCCTCAGAAATTTAAGAGGATTGTCTTTACAATTAGAAAAAAACTAGGGAAATGTTCACGTTCCAGACAACATCCCTCCTGTAAATTTTCTCCCGCTTTTTTCGCAGCCCAAACATCACACACACTCACTCACTCACTCACTCACTCACTCACTCACTCACTCACTCACTCACTCACTCACTCACTCACACACACACAACACACACACACACACACACACACACACACACACACACACACACACACACACACACACACACACACTTACGCACACTCACGCACAAACACACACACACACACACACACACACACACACACACACACACACACACACACACACACACACACACACACACACACACACACACACACACACACTCACACACACACACACACATGTATATATACATATATACATATATATGAATATAAAGCTCATTTGCCTTACAATGTAAGGCAAATGCATTCCCTCAAACAACTATTGGTTGATAGTAAAATGTATTTTTGACGATTGAAAAAACATTAGCCACAAGAATTCAAAATCCATCTTTCCTTTTATTTATCATGACTGATAGTATGACCCCCTCTGCCTATAGGTACCTGGCAAAAGCAGAAAAAAATACACTAGCAAAATGTCATAGAGCACGAGAAGGAATTAGTTTGTTTCCAGAACAAACAGAACTTCATATATTTTGCACAAGTATGACACTTGCAAATGACTAATTAGAGATAGAAAATATGATGCAGAGGACAGTCTAGAAGCGACGGCAGATTGCGAATAAATACTTAGAGACAAAGGACAAATTGCCAAGGACTAATGAGAAGTGAATGAAAAAATACAAAAAGGATTAATTTGGGGAAATGTTCAAATTTCAGGGGACTGATTAAGGAAATAGATAAATTCGAAAGAGCTAGTTAGGGATGAATTACAAAGAACAAACTAAGAATGAAATAGAATTGGCAAAGAACT